GGGATGGGTGTGTCAGAGGCGGTGCGGTTGGCGCAGGATAGAGCAGGGTTTAGAGCTGTTGTGCATAGGGTCGCTATGAGTCGGAAACGACTCGATGGGAAATAACAACAACATAACCCACATGGGAGGAGATTACTCATTGTTCTCCCATGGATCAGCAGAGGGCTTTAAACTGCATGCCTTTGGGCTGGCAGCACCACTCCTTAGGCCATTAGAACTCAAATAGAAATGGTGAGCGCCATAAAGTTAGAGATGATCCACTAGGGTTTTCTGAAGCTTTAAATCACACAGAAGGATAGTGCCCGTTTTTCCCATGGAGAAGCTGGTGGGCTCGAAGAGCATGCCTTAGAGTTGACAGTTCAAATCCTTACCATTAGGGTACCAGAGCTCCAACAGTAAATAGTTTTCAATAACATATAACCCATTACTCTAAGAGACAAACAATATTCCTGTGAGTAACAAAGACTTTTATGCCTTAATATCCAAGAGGGTGCAGAGGTAGTCTGTGCCCTTAACTGTTTGATGTAGAGAGTGGAATCCGTAGGCAGTTTATAAAGAGGTGTGAATATGCTACAATCACATTTTTTTTATTTCACAAAGATCACTAAAGGGACTTGCGAAGAGTTGACCAAAGTGAACAGCATTGGAGGTAGAAGCTGAGGAGATTGTTACAACACAAGTAAGAGAATTGGAATAGGGGCAAGGAGAAGACAAGAGATACTAAATTACTGAGATTGACATATTAGAGAGAAAACCCCAGCAAGAATGAAGAAGTATCATAAAGTTTTGAATAAGAAAACTTTAAATTCACTTTTTAAAAAATTAGATTTGAGAGACTGATCTTGATCAGAAACCCACAGCTGGGGCCCTGTGTATGTCAGGATAGAGAATCAAGAATATTACAGATGATTTAAAATCTACTAGTCAAAGTTAAAAGCATTTGACTGTGCAGATCAAAACAAAATACAGTTAACATTGAGAAGCATGGGAATCCCAGAACATTTAATTGTGCTCGAACTTTACATAGATCAAGAAGCAGTTGTTTGAACAGAACAAAGGAACACTGTATGGTTTGAAATCAGACAAGATGTGTTTTAAGGCTGTATCCTTTTGCCATACCTACCCAATCTGTAAGCTGAGCAAATCATTTAAGAAGCTAAACTATACAAAGAAGACACATGTTACTTCACAGAGAGTAAGGAAGAATTGAAGCAACTACTGAAAAAGATCAAAGACATTATATTATCAAAACATCTCAACATTAAGAAAATAAAATTCCTCACCACTGGACCTCTAGGCAACATTATCATAGATGAAAACAAGATTAAAATTGTCAGTGACTTCAATCTACAATTAACATCCAAAGTCACAGTAGTTAAGAAATCAAAAGACCTGTGTAAATGGGTAAAATCTATTATCAGTGAACTTTCCAAGGAGATCAGTTCAAAGAATAAGGTCTGCCTGGTTCAATCTATAGTATTTTCACTTGCTTCCTATGCATCTGAAAGTTGGTCAATAAATAAGGGAGACTAAAGAATTGATACCTTTGAGTTGTGATGTTGGTGAACAGTATTGATTATATATACCATGGACTACCAAACAGAGATACATGTCTTGGAGAAAGTGCTGTATTATCTTTAACAGCAAGGATGGGGAAACTTTGTCTCACATGCTTTGAACATGTTGTCAAAAGATCCAGTCCTTGGAAAAATACATCATGTCAAGAAAGGCAGACAGCCCGTGAAAGAGAAAAACCATCTAAGAGATGCATTGACACAATGATTATAAAAATGAGATTGAGCATGACAGAGATTGAGAGGATGGCATAGGGTGGAGTCAGGTTCATATGTATTGTGCATGGGTTTCTGGGAGTCATAATCAACTGGAAGTCACGTAACAGCAGTAAAGTTTATCTCCCGTTAATTTAACCGTAGCCAAGATTATTCACTTCACAGAAGTTTTCACATACACATGTTATTGTTGTTGATTGCCTTTGAGTCGAGCACAACTCTCATAGCGACCCTATGACAAAAGGTTTTATGCCCCTCTACAACTATCAACATTTATCAAAGTTCATAGAGCTTTCAGAGGCATGTTATTTAGGAAGTGGATGCCACTCCTGCTTCAAAATCTGTCACATTATGTTATTAATTTAATTTGCCATTGAGTTGCCTCTGATGTATAGCGACCATATGTATAGCAGCTCTGAACCCATCCCTGTCCTGATCCAGTCTCAACTAATTCCTACACACCAACCCCCCCACAACAACCCCCATTGCCACAGTTACTGTATCAATCCATCTTATCCTGGGTCTCTCTCTCCTGCACTGTCCCTCCACCCTTCTGAGCATGATGTCCTCCAAGGACTGATCTCTCCTGGCCACATACACATTCAAAAGAAAAATAACATGGATACATGGTAGATTATAGTTAATATTGGGATCCATGAAACATTAATTTGCACCATAAAAATCCTAGTTAAAAAGAGCAACATTGTTTTACAGAGTTGGCATTAAATTGAAGAAGGAAGGCCCTCCAGCCTTTTCTAAAGACAAAACAAAAGAGTGGCCAAGAAGGCATTCCTGAAGGGTATTCATATTCATAAGAAAACAAAAGAAGATCCTCACGTCACCCACCTTCCAGTACCTGAAGCAGCTGCAAAAGAACATTCCTACGAGAAACAAATTTGACCACTATGCCATCATCAAGTTCTCCTTGATCATTGAGTCAGCCATGAAGATAGTGATAAAAATATACTTGTGTTCTCTGTGAATGTCAAGGTCAACAAGCACCAGAATAAACAAGCTGTGAAGAAACTCTGTGACACTGATGTGGCCAAGATCAACAGCTTGATCAGGTCTGATGGAAAGAAGAAGGCATATGTTTGACTTGCTTCTGCCTATGCTGCTTTGGATGCAGCCAATAAAACTGGGATCACCTAAACTACGTCCAACTGGCCAATTCCAAACATAAATTTTCCCTGCCATACTAAAAACCAAGAAGTAGCTCAATGAATATATACCAACAATTATTGCAGCACTATTATTCACAATGGTAAAAAACCTGAACCAATCTGAATGAACAGCAACAGAGGAATAAACAAACTGTGATATTATAAAAAAGCATCTATTCATGAAGAGAAAAGTGATAATATATGCTATGCCATAGGAAAACCTTGAAATTATTATATTTATTTAAATAAGTCTATCACAAAAGAGCATATATTATGTGGTCCTTCTTACACATGTCTATATATCTAGAACCAAAATTGCACAAAATAAAAAAAATTTATTAATTCATAACAGGGGAAGGGGAGTAGGAAATTTGTACATATAGAAAACCCAAACTCAGGGAGCTCTGGGGGCCTCGTGGCAAGAAGCTGCACTGCAATCCCAAAGGCATGCAGTTCGAACCCACCATATGCTCCACCAGAGAAGGAGGAGCAATCTCCTCCTGGGCCAGTCAGATCCGATTGGACGGTACACAACAAGAAATAAAAAAGGAAAGAAAATCAAAACCCTCACACTCATGTCCTTAGAGTTAGAAGTGACTCATAACTCACCTTCCGTGAGTTTTTGGAAGCTGTAAATTACACAAGAAGAGGTTTCTTTCTACTGAGATACCTTTAATGGATTCAAGCCTTCACAGAGGCACCACCTTTGAGTTTAAGCAGTGCAACATCCTATGGATTACATCCCTATTAATTTAATTTATATAAATGTGTGTGTGTGTGTGTGTGTGTGTGTGTGTGTATACATAACGAGTATCTGTAATCCATTGGATCAAAAAAATAGGAAGACTCAAATAATAAATAGTTAAAATATATGGTATTTTCTAGACTCTTCATTGTGTGCATGTGGTAAATTAATAATCCAAACCCCTCATTTAAACCAATAGTTTCAATCTCTGTTCATTCTAAGTGATATATTTAATTTTAATTCTATCCTCTTATTTCCTTAACTCAAATTGTAACAAAGAGTTCCTCACGAGTAAAGGCATCTAGCAAAGAAGAGATTAGTCAAAGTCTAGATAGTTTAAAAAAAGTAAGTAAAGAATTATTTACAGTCAAGATTTCGAGACAGAATGATCAAGAACATTTCCTACAAAAAACTGAGTCAATGACTATTTTTTGAACCAGTCTGTCAATGATATTAGGTCTAGATGCTTATTGATGATATATTGAAAGGGGGGTAGAAATTGAGTTTTTAAAGGGGCTGACCTTTTAGTACATACAATAAAGATCTGACATGTTGGCTCTGGGTAAATCTAATAATAAATGATTCTTTATTCCACAGCCCAGGTGAGAGCTGCAGGACCCCTACCTGATTGCAGGTGTTGATGTCTATGCCTCCTTTCAGATACTCCACCACTTTGTCCAGGTTGCCTGCTCTGGCAGCTCGAAGGAAACTTGCATTGCTGTCAGACTGCAAGAAAAAGAGAAGATCTTTAAGGACTTATTAGTAAACAATGTATCAAATATAGAAAGATAAGAATGTTTAAACTTCAAGTCAAAAAGTTTTAGCTGTTAAAATATTTCAGTATTGATTTTTAAAAATGGAATGATTATTTACAGTGTAAGATCACTATGTCACAATATTTCTGTGGGATTGTTTAAGGCCGTTAAATTCAATGGGAAATATGCTTTGATTTATCAAAGACAAGTTGTCCTGGGGAGGGTGAAGCCCGGCTGTTCCTTGGAGACAAGGATTCTAAAGCTTCATCTGACATACTTTGGACGTGTTACAAGGCAGGATGAGTCCTTGGAGAGGGGTGTCATTCTTGGGAGGGTGGAGGGACAGCACAGGAGAGGAAGACCCTTGATAAGAAAGATTGATTCCATCACTGGAGTATAGGGATGGGCATGTCAGAGACAATAAGATTGGCAATGGATAGAGCAGGGTTTAGGACTGTTGTACATACAGTTGTTATGAGTTGTACATAGAGTTGTAGGTGACTCAACGCATATAACAACAACAACAATAATATAATAGTTGCAGCAGAACAACCAAAGAGATACATTCAAGTCAATCTAATGGTTATCCCAGAATAAAATTGTTTCATGTAAATTTCCCCCCCAGTATTTTACTATTTTTATATTAAAATTTAGTAGAGAAATAGGACAAAAAATTTACACAGAAAACTAGGTTTCCGTTTAATAAGTTTTATACAACTTTCCTCTGACATTAACTATATTTTTTATGATATGTCAGCTTTGTCTCTGGGTTTTTTTACATTTATTAAATTTTCACTGATCTAGTTTCTTATTCCTTCAATTTTGCTTTTAGGTAAATGTTGACTGTCATTAGGTCTCATAAGATTGTTTAAGAGACACATTACTCCCAGACGGTGATAATATATTAGGGTAAGATTCCATCAGGTCAACTATGAATCATCATGACCCTATAAACCACAGATTGAAACTCTGCCCTGTCCTGTACCATTTTCAATATCTAAGAGCATGTTTCAGAGCCTATGAATCACATGTGAGGAGATTGCCAATCTTTCTCCCATGGATTTTGTATCTTTTGCTTGTGTATTTCTTTTTGTTTCCATTTACTTTGGTGAAGCTGTACAAACTTCACCTATATTTCTTTTGTCTTTTCAATTGTGACCAAAAATATTAAACGAGAACTACTTAGAGAAGGATTTACGGTGGAAGTGTGAGTTACGTGGTTGACTGCTGACGAAAAGGTCAGTAGTGTGAATCCACACAATGCTTCAGGGGAGAAAGATGGATTCTCTCTTTTTGTCAAAATTTACACCTTCAGAAACCCAGTCAATTTGACACCAATGCATTTTTAGTTGATTGGTTATTTACTATCTAGATAGTGATTCCCTCTTCCTTCTCCCCCTATCTCTAGGGTTGTCAAGGATGTGACATTTCAGAAGCAGGTACTATTTAATCCAAATCTAGAACGCTTGCTATTTTTACAAATATGAGAAATAGTTTACTGAATATTGTAAGGTCTTCCTACTAAGATGTCTCTGAATGGGACATTTACTTTTTGTTGGTAACAAAGGACTCCTGTTGCTTTTTATGCCACCAAGAAGCTCCCAAAGATAACTAAATAATTCTTAAATGAAAAATGTTTACTACTTTATTGCAACCTTCAGCGATGAAGGCTTTGGAGATGAATTTACACTTCTCTCAAATTCTACTTTCACTCATTTGTTTCAACGTCAAAGTTCTCATGGCTTAACTTTATAGTGAACCTAAAGTCAAGCTGAAGGAGACTTGGTGGCACAGTGGTTAAACATTTGGCTGCTAAATGAAAGACTGGCAATTCCAACCCACCAGCCACAAGACAGAAAGATGTGCTAAACTGTTTCTGTAACTATTACAGCATTGGAAACCAGATTGTTGTTATTGGTAGATGCCATTAAGTTGAGTACAATTCATAGTGATCCTCTAAACAACAAATTGAAACCCTGTGCTATCCTATGCCATGCTCATCTTCTGTGACACACTTGAACCCATTGCTGTGGGAACTGTGGCCAATCGATCTCATTGAGGGAGACGGGATAGGCAGTTCTACTCTGTCCCACAGGATGACTAGGAGTCAGAATTGACTCCCAGGCAATGATATTTTTTTTTAAATTGTTACTGTCAAGGGAAAATATAAACAGAAAACTAAAATAAATTGATGTCTTAGTTTCTCCTCTTTCTTTACTGTTTGATCTCTATGTGACTCTGAAGACAAACACCAAATCTGGGTTGCCTGGCAGCCACATATTCATCTTTATTGTAAAAGAATACAGAAGATCTCCCGGATGCCTTGAGAAAATGGGATGCATTGCTTGGTAGGTAAATACTAATCTGATGCAAACTCTGTTAGCCCATTGATAGTGGAAAAATAAGATTACACTTCTAGCAGTTGATAGGAAACGAGTCAAAACGTTCTTGCTAAAAATGATCAATTTCAGTGAAGACTGATTTCTAAGCAATTTGTATTCCCCTACTCTAAAGATCTGATCCTGGGAGAAGCAGCTAAATTTTCCTCAGAAGAAATACTTAAGAGGGTTGATCCAGAAATCTAGGAACAATTGCCCTGCTTGTTTTTTGTTGTTCTGTGTGGGGGTTTTTTTTTTAAAGAAAGAAAAAAAATTTAAAAAGACTTTTAGGCTTTAACATAATAGTTATGATAAATACTATTAAAATTCCTAGACACATACATAATGGCTATAATTTTTCTTGAAAGATAGAATTTACTACATAAGATCTGACTTAAAAAAACCTAGCATGAATGGGAAAGCACATAATTTATCTACTTGGAAGTAAATCCAGGTTTGATGACTCTTAATCAAGCATTCTACCTACAAGGCTACACTGCCTCCCTCCCTTCCTCCAAGATTCTTCTTGGCAGACACTCTTGGCAACTCTGTCAAAGCTATTTATTATGACTTGTGATGATATACAGAGAGAGATAGAAATGGGATTATTTTCTCTTGGAGTCTCTTGGAGCATGAAATTATTTGAATGCTATTAAAATGATTTACACATGGGAAGAGTGAAAACCCTAAGAGGAAGTTACCTCACACTTAACCCAAATCTCAGAATGGCAAATATGTTTCCAAATGTGAGAAAGAATATGTTAGTAGTCAAAAGGTGAAACTAAAATCTCTACATCCCCGTTTGTGCTCTGATTCTTGAGAAATGCGCAGTGTATGACTAATATATCACCCTAGTCTTCCCTCTCCCTGCACGCCTGTGATGACTCGCTCCTTGTCCTTCCTGAAAGCTGTGCCCATGGCACAGTGCCTCAAGTATATCTGCAATGCTGCAGAGTTGAAATTGTGACTCATTTAAAAATGCCTGTTCGAGGAAATTATTCTGCTGCTTGCAGCAAATTCGAAATTCCAGGAGTAAATTCCACTTCTAGGTTTCTTGCCACAACACTTAGGTGTAAAACAGAATACTATACTCTATGTTATGTTAATAACTCACAAGAAAATTATTTAACTTAAAACAAAAAAATATTACAAGGTCACAGACAGGAAATATCAGTTTGTTATATGCAATATTTTAGCAAAATATTTTATTGACGATTTTGCCTAAAAAATTATCCCAGTTGGCTCATAAGGTGAATAGTTATAGGTAATAGTCCTAAGAAACTGCACTGTGATCCCGAAGGCACACGGTTCGAGGCCACCAGCTGCTCTGCTGGAGAAGGATGGGCAATCTCCTCCCATAGGATTAACTGTATCTGAAAACCCACCATAGGGTCCTCTATGACAGTACACACAACAACAACAACAGGCACAGATTTAAAAGGGCTATATGCATTATCTCATTAGTATTCACAAAAATACTCTGTTATCGTTGTGTGTCATTGAATTGGCCAAGTATCAGCAACCCTATGAACCAGAACTTTGCCCTACCCTGTGCCATCCTCACAATTTCCAACATGCTCCAGCCACATGCTCCAGTTACAATTACTATGTAAATTCATCTTGTGAGGTGTCTTTCTCTCTCTGATCCTCCACCTTTCCCAGCATGATGTCTCACTACAGTGGACTGGGTATTTGTACTTTAAATCACAGAACATGATAAAAAAGAGTGCTTCAGATGGAAAGCAAATTCGTCCATATGTTAACATCATCACCCAACTATCTGCACCCTGGGGCGGGGGGGGGGGGTAAAA